TACTGGGCTCCAGTTATTTATTTACCTGTCTCTGTGCTCCATTACCTTGTTTCCTCATCCAGAGGAAGGAACATGTCTTATTTATTTTTGTATCCTGGGAGCCTGGAGAGGGTAGACACTTGTTGAAAGTTTCCTGAAAGCAGAAGCGGCTGAGGCCCTTGGGTGTGTGCCCTGGCTCTGGTTCCATCATACCCCAATTAAGATGTAACAGGTCTACGCAGCAGCTTCTCATCTAGTAAAAGGAAATGGACCTATCTTTGGGGACCTTGTATGGATTAGCAAACTGGAGAATTATGCAAATGTCCGTTTTAATGGCTGCCAAACCTTTAGAGGAGGCTGTGCTATGATTGGGCCTGGGCCAGGCCACCCTGGCCCACTTAGACTAGATCATCAAACCACCATCTCTGCCAGCTATTGATCATAGGCCCCACTCTAAAGGAAGCGATCTTCGGTGGAAAAGAGCGGGGCGGGGGGCGGGGAGGGGGCTCTGGAGTGACAGGTCGGACCACTGGGACCATGACAAACAGGGCGGGGATGAGAGGGCCTATGGAGACAATCGTTTCCATTTTATTAAAAATAATTGGAGAAGTTTACAGACAGTTCTTGCAAATACGCATCTGTCAGGCCTGGGTAGAAAAAGAATCATTCCCCCACCCCCACCCCAAATTGTGAGAAATTCTAATGTCGTGGCAAAAAATCAGGAGTCTGATGATTAAATGTGGAGAGCTGTCATCTCGGCATTATATTAAAATAACTCGCCTGAAGCAAGTGCACACTATTTCTTCCTTTAAATCTGTCATTTCTCGGGAGGCTGCTGCTCCGGTTGGCTGCACCGGTGGCTTTGTAGCCTCTGTAGTTTAACAGCTACAGGGACAGTGGGAGGCTGTAGGGGGCGGGGTGACTGGCCAGGGGGATGGGGAGACTCCTTAACCACCGTGGGGCAGCAGCGAACCACATGCGGGGTGTGGGGATAGGGGGGTGGTTGTGACTTTCTCCGAAACTTCGAGCCATGCAGCTGAAGACGAATCCTTTTCAGCAGTGTGCTCTTCAGAGCTGCGGGCAGAGTGAGCCCTCGTTTGTTTATGGAGTCTGTTGCTTAATAGGATGATCAGTGTCTCCTCTCAGCCTCCAGTCACAGCATTTCTAATGATGTCCACACTGAGCCGTTTGTACATGCAAAGTGTGTGGGCGCAGAACAATGGAGCGGAGAGAGCTTCAACGGGAGGGCGGAGGAGGGAAGAGAGAACAGCTCTGCCAATGCAGCAAATGTGGCTCTGCAGGGGCCTCTTTCTGGCTTTTCCTCCAGGTCCCATTCAGCCTCTTCACAGAGGGCATCTTGCCTGTGGCTAAGGGGGCAGCCTCTCTGGCTTCCTCATTTCCCCTGGTGAATGGCGATGGGTGGAGGGAGGAGGCTCAGCGCCTCCTGGAAGTTTTATTGGCTCCACCTATTTGGTTTGTACATACTTCTGGCTTTGGAAAGCACCAGGTAAACCAGTTGCCGCTGAGCTAACTCTGACTTAACGGTGATTCCCTGTGGGAACAGGATTTTGCACCTTCGAGTTTGCGGTAATGGATTTTTTTTCTGAAGTTAATCTCCAGGCCTTTCTTCCCAGGACCCTCTGGATGGACATGGATCTCCAGGTTCCTGATTGGAGTTGATGACATTAACAGTTGTATTGCCCAGATACTCCTCCACGTTTTGTGTTTTAACAAAGAGAGGTAGTACAGGTCTGTGGGGCCCAGGGTGGTCACCCAGCTTTTCAGGGATCACAGGCCTAGGAATCCCGTTTGTAGCTTTGTTTTGGATTTGATTCTCACTGCAATTATCCTCAAATCCCAGATGAGGCAAGCAGGGCAAAGGAGACAGTGTGGTCACGTATTAACAGCATAGGCTTTCAGTTTTAGGCCTGGCTTCTTGGGTAATTTATCCAAGTTTCAATTCCTTCTGTAAAATGAGGTGGGGGAAATCATCTCCTCAGATGCTATTTAGAGGCCTTGGATGGTTAATACGCATGGCTGTTCATCAAAAGGTTGGAGGGATCTCGGGAGAAAGGTCTGGTAATCTACTTAGGAAAAATCAGCCAATGAGAACACTATGGAGCACAGAGCTACCTGACACACATTGGTCAACATGAGTTGGACTTGACAACAGGTATTGCAAACTTGGTAACAGATTGTGTGTATATGTGTGTGTGTATGTGTGTGTTTTGCAGACTATACCATAGAGCTCTGTATATCCATAAGGCTGTGGTGCCTCTCTGGTAATTCTAATTCACAGGTAGCTCTAAGGGAGAAAGATGGGCAATCTCCTGCCATTTGACTTACAGCTTCTGAAAACCTGCTGGATGGTCGCTGTGAGTCGGTTCTGATACAATAGCAATCGGTTGTGTATATATCAAACACTTAATATGGGGCTGTGTGGTGTGGATTGTCACCAGGTTGGAAGTGACTGATAACTGATCCTCTTTCATAGCTCATAACTGACTTTACCAAATAGCTGGCCCTCCAACAGGCTGTCAGAGTCTGTAAATTGCATGGGAGGCAATGGTTCGTCTTTCTACCTTGGAGCAGCCAGTAGATTCGTACTTCCTGCCTTTGGGCTGGCAGCAGAACAACAGAGCTCCCTATCATTTCATGTAGTAGTTGTTTGATATTGTTAGCTGTTGTTGCCGGTAGAATTCAGGCTTTTGAGGCTTGGCTGAGGCTTCACAACTAGGGCTAGAATTACTCGTGCTCGGTTAGGGAATGAGAAGCGTAACTAGTTCTGGGAGCCAGGGTTGCCCATCTCCTGCTCTTGCTGGATGTCTGACAGCCTAAGGCAGGCACAGATTTCCACCTTCAGCAGTTCCAGATCCTGCAGCAAGGATATAAAAAGCAAGTGAAGAGCCTGCAGAAACGCAGGTGCAGCTTGGGGTCCCTTTGCCAAAAGTGCAGCATTTCTTCAAAAGCCCTTGAATGTCACCTCTTCATGCTAAGCCTGGCTGGAAATGCCCGCCCTGTCCCTGCCTCCTCAGCCCCGCGTGACCTCGCCCATCACTGGAGCTTTTGGAATCTGAACAAGGGCTTCACCTTGACCTCTTCCTTCCCCAGGAGAAGACACAACACAAATGAGGCCATCAGAGGCATGACAGTTCCTCCTACTCAGCATGTCTCAAAACCCTCGCTCTGACTCCCATCGATCAGTGATAAAACATAAAATCAACAGAGATCGGTTTTTCTATTTCATGCAGAAAAATCAACATTGACCGTCAGTGACGGCCAAGCTCGGGAAACATACAGAAAGAGTGAGAACGCTTATGGTTTCCTCTCTTAGATCCTCTTAAGCCTTTTCTTTGTCCTGGTCCCTGATGACAGCTGTGGGACAGAGCGAAATCCTGCTGCTAAGTACTAAGTAGGAGAAGTGTTTGCCAGCGTCCCTGCACAGAAGGGCTTTGCGCTCGCGGGTGACTGACAGCCTGAAAAAGCAGTTATCCCTCCAGGCTCAGGAGCAAGAGGCTCTTGCAGCCCAGTGCCTGACCTTCTGCAGTTGAGCTCGGCATTCTGGGGCCAGCTGGCTGCCACCATTATCTGTTAAGGTTAAAATAGTGGTGAGTTGATTGATGATGTAGCTCGGATCATGGCACTCTCCTGCTGAAACAATGCTTGCTTGTGTTCCAAGTGGTACAGATTCAGGTCCATTATTCTGGCATTCCTGATCTGGCTTCAGTCTACCTTCACAGTTGCACCCATTATCTGGCTTCAGATACAGAAAAGCTAAATTGTTCTCTGCTTTACCACCTCCGTATCATTGCTCATGCTGTTCCTTCCCCTGGAACATGCTTTTCTCTGTGTGTCTCATACCCACATCCTCCCTATCCTTCAAGCCCATTTGAAATTGTACTGCCTCCAGAAAGATGGTTCCTTCAGTCTGAAATCATTTTCCTTCCTCTCAATTTGCATAACTCTATACACACCCTTCTAAGGACATTTCTACTTCCTGCTGCATGTGACATTTTGGTACATATCTTATTTTTATTAGAGCCAGTATTCCTTGAGGACTTAGAGCTGTGGTAGCCAAGAGGTAAGAAGCTGTGCTGTATCCCAAAGGCAAGCTGTTCGAATCCACCAGCTTCTCCATGGGACAAAGATAAGCAATCTTCTCCCATGAGATTAACTGCTTCTGAAAGCCCACTGGCAGAGTCAAGCTTTGTGATGGCACTCAACAATAATTGCATGTGACATTTTGGTACAGGTCTTATAATCTTTATTATATCCAGGATTATTTGAGGACTAGGATGTTATCTTTTTATCCTTTGATGTAGCAACATTTCTGCAAGGCTCTCAGATATTCAGAAGAATACAGTTACAAAGACTGTGGTGTTAAGTGAATAGGTGCTCGAAGCTTCGGGAGAGCCTCAGGTGGGTTAAGGTGAGGCTGGTCAAGATCCATTCTGATTGTCTCAAGTCTGTGTCCCAATAATTACATATTTTAAATCTCCTTGGTTGACAAGTGGTCACTCTATCAGGTCTGGACTCTATCAGATCCGACTTCTTTGTTCTTTGTGAATGCAAGCATAATGATGTCTATCTATCTTATTTAAGCAAACAAAAGAACACCTCCTAGATTGAAGATGCATTCATTATTATTTTCTAGACTGATTTTTGAGGAGACTGATTGCATATTGTTAGCTCATATCTGTGAGGGGTCAGATAGAGTCACACACAAATAACTCTACCACCTCTAGTAACTGTCAGTAGTAAATGGATTTGCCACGATCTTTTTGAAATAATCTGCTCTTATTGCCCTAGTGTGACAGTTGTTGTGACCATGAAAAAAAAATTCATAAACAGAAATAAAGTAAATTATTAATTATTCTAAATCTTCGTTTCAATGCTGCAGCATGTAATGAGACCTGCTATTCTATCGTAGGTCAAAGAAATCATAAACAACACAACTGGAGAACCTAACAACTACAAGAGATTGCTGCAGGAATTGGTATTTTAGAACACATGAGGGATGGATGGTGACTATCACCTTCTTTACCATTGCTGTCACCACCTCTGTTACTTCCACTGCCTCCATCACCACCACCTACACAACCACCTCAACCACCACTACCATTACCACCTCCACAAATCCTACCGCCTCTACCACCTCTTCCATCATCCTCACTGCCACCTCTACTGTCTCTGGCGCCTCCTCCACCACCACTTCCTCCACCTCTTTAACCACTTCCATCACCTCCAGTACCTCCACCCTAACTTCCTCCATCTTCACTACCTTCACCACCTCCTCTAGCCTCATCTCTACTATCTCCTCCAACACATCATCACCCCCACCATTCCTCTACCACCACCACTGCCACAAACAACAGGAAGCCTTCCATTGACGTTGCACATAAATGCACTTTAATTATTAATTGCATTTATAATATTCATGATACACAGACTTGCAGATTGAAATATATTCACACTGCAACCATAAATGCAGCTTAATTAAAGGAATGACCTAATAGTTTCTGTTGTTGTTGTTATGTACTGTTGGGTCAGACCAACTAGTAGTTGACCCTCCAATAGGTTTCAGGCTACCCATCCTTCTCCCACAAAGCATGTGATGGATTCAAACTGTGTGCTTTTGGATTGATTGACAGCCCGTATCAACACCAGGGATGCACTCAATTTGCATAATTGCAGGTGTAGGGAAAGTTTCACCCACATATCTGATTTATACTTCAGTTTGTTAATAAAACACTATGGAAGTTCAAGTGTGAACCTGTAGATTAATCGCACGGAAAGATATTTCCCATCTTTCTACCATGGAACAGCTGGTGGATTAGAACCATGTACCTTTGGGTTGCCAGTGCAACTTCTTACCACTAGGCCACCAGAACTCCCTAACTACTGATTCCTTTGCACTAATAAACAACAAAAGCATCAGAGCTTCTCTTGAGCTAAAAGGTTCAAGTTCTATTACTAATCATCACTGCCTAAACACCAAGCATCAGGGGCTGGGTGGAATCCAGAGCAGATCCTCATTGCCAAGCCACCCCCACTCAAAGCATGGAGAAGAGAAGGAGAAATCACCTCCTCAGCACTGACATTAGAATACCAATCCTCCTCCTCCTTGCCCTAAAGCAGCACTTTTTATTTTCATTTCCATGCTAACAAGGTAGACCTGTCCTAGCATGTGTTCTGAAGAGGTTCTTTCATGCTCAGGGCCTGGGGAGCTTTAACATAGTTAGATGTACTCTAACAGCAGGTTGCCATCAAAAAAGTCTATAATAGGATTAAAATAAAAGAGGAATGTACTTGCAGTGGAACGGCAATGATTATTTAACACATTTCAAGTGTCGGCAGCCAGCTTGGTGGGAAGGTGCAGCACAAACACAGCAGACGGACCTGCTGGTGTGGGTGTGTCGCTTTCCCAACAATCAGGCTTTTGTGTTGTGATCCTGGATTTTTGGAGGGTATCCAGAAGCTGTACAACAAGGCCCTGACAAGAAAGACCTTATCGCTATTGGAGATATTGATGCTCACTGCCCCACCTAGACGGTGAGCTCCAGGGGGCAGGGAAATCTTTGTTCTCCTCTTAATTCCTGGTACCTGGAACGCTCTTGGCTCATCATAGGTACTCGATGGATATGTATGTGCTGTCTGTAAGATAGATAGGGGCTTTGGAGTCGGTTCCCACTTCATGGTGATCCTGTGCCCAAAGGAAAGAAGGAACACCTTGACCTATGTAATCACCAGGATTATTTGTGATCTGCAAGTTTTTCATCCAGTGATATTCAGTAGATTGCCAAGCTTTTCTTCCTGGTCTATCTAAGTTTGAAACCTCCACTAAAACCTGATCATCAGTATGAGTCCATGGTGCTTAGTGTTACCATAGTCAAGGACAGCTTGACAGCAGCTAGCAATAATCATAAAAGCCACTGTGCCCATCTTAAAGGACATCACAGAGGATAATCCAACCTCTTTTTTTCCTGGTAAATGTCTTGAAAGTAGTTTCAACCTTTTTAGGATGCCCTTCTTCATTCTATCTTGAACCATAGTCTTACTCTTCAGTCTTTCTGAGACATCTCGCCCATCCATCCCCACGTCCATTCACTTATTTCATAAATGCTTAATGAGCATATGATATATGTGGAAACACTAATGTGGACTTGTAGTGTACTAGCAGTTAAAGCAGTGAACGATGGAACCTGCACTCCTGTCAGTGAAATCTTTTCCAGAGTCTTACCTAATCTTTAGAGTCATTAATTCCAATAGGCCATTGCTTATCCCACATAGCTGAACCTGACACCAGAGTGAACACTCTCTTCTCTCTCTCTTTAGCCCCAACATCCTTGCCTCTTAGGTTAAAGAAGACTACCTGGGTTAGTCTTCTAGCCCTCTCAGATGGCCATCAGAGTGTCAATCTCCAATTTGATTGCCTCTATTATATTTCTATTTCCCCCTGATTTAATCTTCTTCTTTTTATCATCATCTGCCAATAGTGCAGGATCACATCACCTTACCTTTGGACCATTGAAATAGCCTCTTCTCTGCTTGTCTTACCTCCAACTTCTTTCTTTTTTACTCAGCATCCCTCTCATCACTGCTGTTCCGATAAAAACAAGAAAAGAAGCACCACCAACAGCACCCCAACTCTTCCTTGTTTGAAGACTTCTGCCAGCTTTCTGTTGTCAGTCACACTTCTTAGTAAGACATTTGCTCTTCAGCTACTAGGGACCACCTGACTTGTCCAGCCTGACAATCTATCGCATTTGCTCCAGCAATCTTCTGCCTCAGTTCCCTTGGCCCTACGGGGACTTCTTGCTGCTCCTGCCTTAACCCAGCTCTCCTCTGCTTTGTTGCATTGCTATCATCTCCTTTTCCTTCTTTTCTTTTTCAAGGTTGTATGTTAGAAATGCATGACCCTCACCATCATGCCTACTCTCCAGTAGCCCCATTTTCTAAGCCACTAAATCCCCGTGACTGCTGTTACATTATTTAGGTCTTAGCCACATCTGTGGCTCCAGACTGTCCCTAATAATCTGTTACATGAGGTAGTTACACAAGTTAAATAGGCAATAGCTAGAGTTGCATCCATCATTTAACAAGCTCAAGTAATCTCTCTGGATTTTGTTCTTCTCCTCTAGGACAAAGGAGTATTGAGACATAGAGCATGTAAGGATGTCTTCTCTGGTCTCACAAATCAGAAAGCCAGGACTATCTCAGAGAGTATGCCATCAAACAGAAGACGCTAATGCTTGAATGTCACTCACTCAGGTGGCGTCAAGATGTTACCAACGTCTAGGGACTACTTGTCCAATCACTGTGTAGCTTTTTCCTCCTCTTCCCTGAAGGAGGGGTTTTTTGTCCCTCAGATGTCCCACTGTGGTCTTTTACCCCTCAGATGGCTTCCTAATACAGATGGTTAGGGGCAGGCAATAGGGAAAGGGCAGAATTATTACACAGCAGCCATTCTTCTATGATCAATATCTGCCTGCAGATGACCCTGCTAATAATATCCCAGCCAGGAGCATTACCGAAATCCTTTGCCCTGGTTCCCAAACGGTGTGGGAACAGGGCCAGACCAGGCTGCCTGCACTTGCATTTCCAAATTTTAAAGTGTTGTGAGGTTGGAGGACAGGTTTAATGGGTATAAACTGCGCAATCCATGCCTCATCTCAGGAGTGAGCAGCTTATATTCTGTGTTCAACCCCTGACCCTTTGTTATGCTCCAACAAATAAAGGAAGAGAAAAAAAATAAACGGGCATGAAGAAATGAGATGGCACTAGGAGAAAACCACCTTTATTGGATTGACCAATTACCAGAGGCTATGTATCTCCACAAAGAGGGAGCCAATCTGAGCTCAGTGCCAGCATCAGATGATCTCTGGGGAGAAAACAGCCCCAGGGCCACTGTTTAAGGCTGGAACAAGTGTGAAGTGGAGGGAGGATGGTTGCCTTAAGGAGCAGGGAAGGGAGAAAATGAAGAAGGATGAAAATGATGTGAATCCCATTCCACTCAGTCAGTGAAAACTTTAAACTTATTTTGATTTTCTGAAATGAAATTTGGTACTAGATTGAAAATATACAGTATCTGCTATACTGGCTTTGAGCGCAAAGTAGATTTACAGCAGCTGAGAAACTGGAGCAACACAGCCTTTCTGACATGGTAAGGGGGAAAAAAATCCCCCCAAGCCCCTTCATCTTCCCAAAGCCAGACTCTGGGGAGATTTCAAAATATATGAGAGCAGAAAGCACTGAAATTACATCCTTGAAACATCACAAGTAGAGGCCCATCCGATCTTGCATTCCGCTCTCAGCAGCCGGTTCCTGGGGAAGAGCGGGGTAATGAATAGGATGTCAGACTCTGGGCTCTCCAGGCCCTTCAGAATGGATTCTCCGCAGGCACCGGAGACATTCCAGGAAGAGCTTAGAGTGCAGAGCCCAGAAATTGTTAAGAAGTGCAAAAGTATCGATCTTATTTTCATTGCAGTGTTAAGGTTCAGTATGAGAGGAACAATATGTTTTAATCTGTTCCTCAGACAAAGGAGATAAAAAAGACTGAGATAGGGTTCAATTTCCCTTTATCTCAGGTGGAGAATAAGTTACTGAGCTTACCCTGTGAGTATTGTTCAATTATCCTTACCGTTTCAATTTTTCTTAAAGTACATTATTTCATATGAGATTATATTAATTAGAACAATAAATATCCTCTTATTTCCTTTCTGTAAATTTATTGTGTAACTTCTGACTTGTTAATCCAATTTTCAATATGCTGAGTAAAGTTCACTCTTTTTCGATAATTGGAATTTGGGTAAATTACATAAAAATTTGCTTCCCCATTAAAAAACCCCAAGTTCTCAGATATTTCCGCTAAGCGAATGGTCTAAGATATGGCCACTAGATGGCACTGTCACTGCATAGTTGAAAAATCTGTTCGTTGTTAAAGGAAATCAATCTAGTCTTTGTGATCACCATCCAGAAATATCCAGAAGGTGGCATATTTTAGCTATTTATGAACTCCCAATACCTCGTCAATGTCTACGTTTGGGTTTTTTTTTTTAAGAAACCTTTATTTTTTTTTAAAAAAAATTTATTTATATTTCCAGGAGGAGATTATGAGTTGAATAAAATTATCTATGATATTTAAAATATTTGAAAATGTTTCACATTTTCAGAGCATGTAATACAAGCTGAAGGGCCCGCAAAGCGAACAGTGACACAAAATCAAGGTGAAATTGACCAATAAATTGAGAACTCCATTACAAGAACAATTTCCCCGCGTTTGAGTCATAGTGTTTGATAACCTAAGCCTGTCTAAACTTTGTGAAACATTCCAGGCGAAGATGGACGGGGACAGTGAGGGACACGCCAGACGGAGGAGGGCCGCGTGGGT